CTGGGGATGTTCCCCTTGTCCCTGTGTCCATATCCCTGCTCCCTGGGGATGTTCCCTTTGTCCCCGTGGCCATGTCCCTGCTCCCTGTATCCTTTCCCCTTGTCCCTGTATCCCTGTCCCTTGACCCTGTGTCCACATCCCTTGTCCCTGTGTCCCTATCCCTTGTCCCTGCATCCTTTCCCCTTGTCCCTGTGTCCATATCCCTGCTCTTTGCGGACGTTCCCCTTGTTCCTGTATCCATTCCCCTTGTCCCTGTATCCCTGTCCCTGCTCCCTGCATCCATTCCCCTTGTCCCTGTATCCCTGTCCCTTGTCCCTGTGTCCATACCCCTGCTCCTTGGGGACGTTCCCTTTGTCCCTGCATCCCTGTCTCTCGTCCCTGTATCCCTGTCCCTGTTCCCTGTATCCATTCCCCTTGTCCCTGCATCAATTCCCTTTGTCCCTGCATCCCTGTCCCTGTTCCCTGTATCCATTCCCCTTGTCCCTGCATCAATTCCCTTTGTCCCTGCATCCCTGTCCCTGGTCCCTGTGCCCCTCTCCTTTGTCCCTGCGTCCACGTCCCCGGTGCCCTCAGCCCTTGCCGGGGGGGTCCCTCGGTGCCGCTGCCGGGCGCTGTTGCCGCCGCTGTCCCCAAGGGGGCGCCCGGGAGCAGGTTCAGGAGCCGCAGCAGCGAGGCCAGGGCCTGGCCCCATGGGAGCTGTGGGGCAGGGACCGGAGCCGCGGGGCCTGCGGGGAGGGGGGGAACCGGTACCCGTGAGGCCGCTTCGGGTCCCATTGGGTCCCCTTTGGATCCCCTTGAGCCCCATTGGGTCCCATTTGGTCCCCTTGAGTCCCTTTGGGTCCCTTCGAGTCCCATTGGGTCCCTTTGAGTCCCCTTGAGTCCCTTCAGGTCCCATTTGGGCCCCTTTGGATCCCATTGAGTCCCATTGGGTCCCTTCAGGTCCCACTGGGTCCCTTTGGGTCTCCTTGAGTCCCAATGGGTCCCTTTGAGTCCCTTTAGGTCCCAATGGGTCCCTTTGAGTCCCTTCAGGTCCCATTAGGTCCCTTCAGGTCCCATTGAGTCCCTTCGAGTCCCCTTGGGTCCCTTTGAGTCCCTTGGGTCCCATTGAGTCCCCTTTGGGTCCCATTGGGTCCCTTTGAGTCCCTTGGGTCCCATTGAGTCCCCTTTGGGTGCTCGAGTCCCCTTTGGGTCCCTTTGAATCCCATTGGGTCCCCTACATCCCTTTACCCCCCCCCCATGTCCCATCCCCACCCCTGTATCCCATGTCCCCAATATCCCCCCAAAACCCTCCACATCCCTTTGCCGCCATTATCCCCATGTCCCCCCCATGTCCCCCTTACCCCAATGTCCCCCCCATGTCCCCCTTACCCCAATGTCCCCCCCATGCCCCCTCACCCCCCATCAGCAGCAGCGTCCCCAGGGCCACCACGAGCGTCCCCGTCACCCCCATGGCTCTGCCGGACCCCCCCCCCCAACGGCCTCGTCCCTGCTTTATAGGGCCGGGGCCAGCCCAATGCCCCCCCCCCCACCCCCATTGTCCCCAATGGCTCGCTCCGTGTCCCCCCCCCGCGGACAATGGTGCCATTGTCCGGCCCCAGCGCTGGGGCAAGCCCGGACTCGCCAAATGGGACACGGAAGGGGGGGGAGGGGGGGTGATTTATTGTTGGGGGGGGGGGGAACCCCTCCCCCCTTCTCGTCCCGCTCATGGGAAGGATTCGCCGACGGGCGCGGAGCTGATGAGGAAGACCCGGACGTAATGCGCGGCCTGGGGGAGGGGGGGGGCAACGGGAGCGTTTGGGGGGGGGGGAGCGAGGACCACACACCCCTCCCCCCCCCGGGGTAGGGGCACAATGGAACAGCCCGAGGGATGCGGGAGATGGGGACCCCCCCCCCCCCCACCGGACCTCCCTCCCATAGGGACCCAAGGGTTGGGGATCCATTGGAGACCCCCCCCCCCCCGGACCCTAAGTTGATGGGGATCCATTGGGGGTCATGAATGGGAACCCATCCCCCCCTCCCGGATTTGGGGACCCCCCCAAAGGACCCAGGAGTTGGGGATCCCCCCCCCAAAAGTGGGGCCCCCCCCCCCGCACCGCAAAGACCCCTGCGAGCAGCAGCAGGGCCAGGAGGAGGCAGACGAGGGCCAAGAACACGAGGGGGCAGCCGGGGGAGGGCGTCTGCGCCTGGGGGGGGCCTGGGGGGGGACACACACACAGGAGGGGGCGTGGTCAGCGCTAGACCACGCCCCCTCCCCTTAGCCCCGCCCCATTGCCATGGCACCCCCACCCTACCTGGGGTGTCCCTTCTGGGGGCCTCGGCGGTGATGTCATCCGTGACGTCATCATCCCGGCACGCAGAGTCTTCGGGGATGGGTTCCCCTGGTCTGATGTCACCCGTGACGTCATCCTCGGGGCTGACGTCACAGCTGGGGAGGGAGTCGGGGGTGACGTCGCCCCCGACGCCGTCACCCAGGTCTGTGCCCCAGGTGACGTCACCTCTGACGTCACTCTCGGGAGTGACGTCATGACCAGCAATGTCGCTGGGGATGGGGGAAGTGATGTCATCCTCAGGCATGACATCATCAGTGATGTCATCCCAAGCAGAAGGAGTGTGCTCATTGTCACAGATGATGTCACCAGTGAGGTCACCATCTCCTCGCAAGGAGGAAGTGACATCATCAGCGGCGACGACGTCATCAGCAGGGGTGCCCCTAGGTACAAAACCCGCTGTATATTCCTCTGCAGTGACGTCAGCAATGACATCAGCACGGGTATCCCTGAAGAGCGCCGTAGCGTCATCTGTGGCTATGATGTCACCAGTGACGTCATCCCTGTGCGTGATGTCACCTCCAGCGAGCTCCTCCCGAGGAAGGCCAGAACCGGCGTCATGACCGGCGGTGTCCCCACCGATGACGTCACCGGTGAGGTCACTCCCAGGAAGGGAGGAAGTGACGTCACTCCGGGCGATGACGTCGCCCACGAGGGGCTCCTCAGGGGCGGAGGAAGAGACATCACCCTCCGCCATGACGTCACCCCCAATGACATCACTGGTGATGATGTCATCATCGGGGACGTCCTCGTCCTCCGGCGGGGGGGCCACCACTGTGATGGTGATGCCACCGGCCACGCACGTGCCCCCAAGGGTGCCCCCCCAGCCTGTGACGTCATCGCTGATGTCATCCCCAGCCCCAAATGCAGGGACATCCCCAATGTCCCCCAGGGAGGGGAGGTCCCCAGTGGGCTCAGCCCCAGTGTCCGGAGCATCCCTGCCCCCAGTGCCCTTTGGGGTCACCCCATCCCCAATGTCCCCATTGTCCTTTGGGGTCATCACGTCCCCATCGTCCCCAGTGTCCTTTGAGGTCGCCCCATCCCCTTTGTCCCCAGTGTCCTTTGGGGTCATCACGTCCCCATCGTCCCCAGTGTCCTTTGAGGTCGCCCCATCCCCTGTGCCCCCAGTGCCCTTTGGGGTCATCACATCCCCACTGTCCTTTGGGGTCACCATGTCCCCAGTGATCTTTGGGGTCACCACGTCCCCAATATCCTTTGGGGCCACCAGTTCCCCCTTGTCCCCATTGTCCTTTGGGGCCACCACTTCCCCCTTGTCCCCATTGTCCTTTGGGGCCACCATGTCCCCATTGTCCCCAATGTCCTTTGGTGCCACCACATCCCCATTGCCCCCAATATCCTTTGGGGTCACCATTCCCCCATCGTCCCCAATGTCCCCATTGCCCCCAATATCCTTTGGGGCCACCACATCCCCATTGTCCCCAATGTCCTTTGGGGTCTCCATGCCCCCATTGTCCCCAGTGTCCCCATTGCCCCCAATATCCTTTGGGGCCACCACATCCCCATTGTCCCCAATGTACCCATTGTCCCCAATGTCCTTTGGGGTCACCATGTCCCCATTATCCCAAATGTCCCCGTTGTCCTCAATGTCCTTTGGGGCCATCACATCTCCATTGTCCCCAACGTCCCCAATGTCCTTTGGGGCCATCACATCTCCATTGTCCCCAGTGTCCTTTGGGGCCACCACATCCCCATTGTCCCCAGTGTCCTTGTCCATAAGGTCCAGACCATCCCTGTCCCCAATGTCCTTTGGGGTCACCACATCCTCATTGTCCCCAATATCCTTTGGGGCCACCACATCCCCATTGTCCCCAGTGTCTTTTGGGGTCACCACATCCCCATTGTCCCCAGCGTCCTTTGGGGACACCACATCCCCATTGTCCCCAATGTTCTCTGGGGTCACCACATCTCCATTGTCCCCAATACCCTCTGGGGTCACCCCATCCCCAATGTTCCCAATGTCCTTTGGGGTCACCCCATCCTCATTGTCCCCAACGTCCTTTGGGGTCACCCCATCCCCATTGTCCCCAATACCCTTTGGGGTCACCACATCCCCATTGTCCCCAATTCCCTTTGGGGTCACCACATCCCCAGTGTCCCCAATGTCCTTTGGGGTCACCACATCCTCATTGCCCCCAGTGTCCTTTAGGGTCACCACATCCCCATTGTCCCCAACGTCCTTTGGAGTTACCACGTCCCCATTGTCCCCAACGTCCTTTGGGGTCACCACGTCCTCATTGTCCCCAATGTCCTTTGGGGTCACCCCATCCCCAATGTCCCGAATGTCCTTTGGGGTCACCACGTCCCCATTGTCCCCAGTGTTCTGTGGGGTCACCACGTCCTCATTGTCCCCGATGTCCCCATTGTCCCAATCATCCTCATCCGGTGGTGCCGCGGTGACAGTGATGGTGATGCCGCTGGTCCAGGGGGTGACGGTGACAATGGGGACATCCATAGGGACATCCATGGGGGTGGCCGTCACCTCCGTGGGGAGGGGACAAGGGGGGGCAGCGCTGGGGCACCCCTCAGCCATAACCTGGGGGGGGGGAGGGAAACCAGAGGTGACGGGGATGTCACTGGGGTGACACCAAGGACATGGGGGGGAGACAGGGGGATAAAGGGGGGGGAAATGGGGGAGCCCAAACAGGGACCACAGAGGGGGGGGATCCGATACCTGAGGCAGGAGCAGGCGTCGCTGTCCCCGATGTCCCCACACGGCAGCGGCAGCTCCTGGATCCCAATGGAATGGGGGGGGGGGGGGGAAGGAGGAGCCTGGCCCCCCCCCCCCCCCAAAATGTGGGCTGAGCCTGGGACTCTCGTGATGGGTCCCGGGGGGGAGAAGAATGAGGCCAAAGAGAGCTTAAAGGGGGCGTTTGGGGGGGGTTTATTGGGTTTTGGGGTGCAAGGGGGGGTCCAATGGGGGGTCTGAGGGGGGGTCCAAGGGCTCCAGGGCCTCCAGTGCTTGTTGGAGGCGGGCGAGCTCGGAGCGGAGGATGGCGACCTGGGGGGGGGGGGGCCCACGTTAATGACGGCAGCGTTAATGAGCCCTCCCCCCGTTAATGAGGTTAATGTGGTTAATGAGCGCCCCCCCCCCCGGCCCTGCAGGGTTATGGGGGGCAATGGGATGCCCTGGGGGGTAATGGGTGGCAATGGGGGTCAATAAGAGGCAATGGGGATACAATGGGATGCAATGGGGGGCAGTGGGAGTACAGGTGGGTGAAATGGGGGGCAATAGGGGTAGAATGGAGGGCAATGGGGTGTAATGGGGGTACAATGAGGAGGAATGGGATACAAGGGGGGCATAACGGGGTGCAATGCAGCACAATGGGGATGAATGGGATACAATGGGGGTACAGTGGGGGTCAATGGAGCACAATGGGGTACAATGGGGTCAATAGGGTGCAATGGGGGTCAATGGGATACAATGGGGGCACAGTGGGGGTCAACAGAGTACAATGGGGATCAATGGGTGTACAATGGGGGTCAATGGGTTCAATGGGGGTACAGTGGGGGTCAGTGGGGTAAAATGGGGGTCAATGGGGTACAATAGTGGTCAGTGGGTGTACAATGGGGGCCAATGGGGTTCAATGGGGGTCAATGGGGTTCAATGGGAGTCCACGAGGTTCAATGAGATTCAATGGGAGTCAGTAGGGTTCCATGGGGGTCAATAGGGTTCAATGGTATTCAATGAGGGTCAATGGAGTTCAATGGGGTGCAGTGGGATACAATGGGGGTCAATGGGGCTCAATGGGGCCATACCTGGTGCTGGGCGCTGGGCTCCGGGGCCCCCCCCAGGCTCTGGAGGCGCCGTTGGAGTCCGAGGCTGCGGCTGCGGAGCTGGCTCCGGGCGGCCGCCGGCTCCACCAGCCCCTGGAAGGGGTGGGGGGGGTCCTCCAGTGTCCCACAATGCCCTGGGACACCCCCCCCAGGGACCCCCAGTATCCCACAATGCCCGTGGAGTCCTCCCATATCCCACAATGCCCCGGGGCACACTCACCTGCAGGCAGAGGAGCACGTGGGTGTCAGGGCCTGCAGGCGCCTTCACCCAGCCCGGGCCTGGCTCTGGCTCCGCCCCCAGGGGGAGGAGCTTCAGCGGCCCCGCCTGTGCCAGCATCCGGAGAGTGGGGCCCAGCGGCTCCAGCCAATCGCGTGTCTCCGCCGGGCACTGGACCGCCACTGCGCAAAGCATGCTGGGATAGCGGCGTTGCCCCTCAGCCCACCCAACATGGCTGCCTCCAGTGAGGGTGTGAGGGAAACATGGCCGCCTCCGGGTGCCCCAGAGCATGCTGGGACTGCTGGGCTGTGGCAGCCTCCAGTGGGGGCCGCCATCTTGGGGCATAGGGGCAGCCAAGTGCATGCTGGAGAGCTGTCAGCCATAATGCCCCAGGGCACGCTGGGACTTGTAGTCCCCTATGTCTGTCAGCCATATTGGAGGCCCCAGGGCATGCTGGGACTTGTAGTCCCCTAGGGATGCAGCCATATTGGCTGCCCCAGGGCATGCTGGGACATGTAGTACTCACCGGGGGGCCGGGCCGCCCCGAGACGGAAGGTGCCCCTCAGCGCCCGCACCGCCCGCACCACCTCCAGCATGGCCCCCACCTCCCGCTCCACAGTGGGGCAGTGCCAGTGGGCCTGGGGGGACACAAACAATGGGGGTCAATGGGGCTTCAATGGGATGTCAATGAGGTGTCACTACAGCATCACTGGGGTGTTAATGGGGTCAATACGGCGTTAATGAGGTGTCAATAGGTCGTCGATGGGATGTCAATGGGGCATCAATGGGGTTGTCAATGAGGTGTTAATGGGGCATCAATGGGGGTTGTCAATGAGGTGTCTAAGGGGGTGTTAATGAGGCGCCAATGGCACGTCAATGGGGCACCAACAAGATGGCATTAGGGTATCAATGGGGCCTTGTTGAGGTGTCAATGGGGCATCAACGAGGTGTTAATGGGATGTCAATGGGGTGTTAATGAGACGTCAATGGGGCATGAGTGGGATGTCAATAGGGCGTTAATGAGATGTCAATGGGGCATCAACAGGATGTCATCAATGGGGAGATATAGAGGCGTCAAAGGGGCGTCATTGAGGTGTCAATGGGGTGTCTGTAGCATACTAATGAGACGTCAGTGGGGCACCAATGAGATGTCAATGGGGTGCCTATAGGGCGTTAATGAGAGATCAATGGGGCATCAATAGGGGTCTCAATGGCACTCACCAGGCTGGAGGCGTCGGGGAAGGGGGCAAGGGTGATGCTGGGGGCCACCGGGGGGGCGCGGGGAAGCCGCTGCCACAGCTCCTCGCTCAGGAAGGGGGCGAAGGGGGCCAGGAGCCGCAGCCCCACATCCACGCAGCAGAGCAGGGTCCGGCGCGTGTCCGGTGCCGTCACCGGGTCCTGCAGCAGCCCCTTGGAGGCCTCCTATGGGGAGAAGGAGGCATCAGTGGGTTCAATGCCATCAATGGCAGGGGTATGATGGACCCATCAATGGGTTCAATGCCATCAATGTCAGGGGTAGGATGGACCCATCGATGGGTTCAACGCCATCAATGGCAGGGGTAGGATGGACCCATCGATGGGTTCAACACCATCAATGGCAGGGGTAGGATGGACCCATCGATGGGTTCAACACCATCAATGGCAGGGGTAGGATGGACCCATCGATGGGTTCAACACCATCAATGGCAGGGGTAGGATGGACCCATCAATGGGTTCAACACCATCAATGGCAGGGGTAGGATGGACCCATCAATGGGTTCGATGCCATCAATGGCAGGGGCAGGACGGACCCATCAGTGGGTTCAATGCTATTAATGGCAGGGGTAGGATGGACCCACAATGCATTCAATGACATCAATGTCAGGGGTAGGATGGACCCATCAATGGGTTCGATGCCATCAATGGCAGGGGCAGGACGGACCCATCAATGGGTTCAATGCCATCAATGTCAGGGGTAGGATGGACCCATCGATGGGTTCAATGCCATCAATGTCAGGGGTAGGGTGGACCCATCGATGGGTTCAACGCCATCAATGGCAGGTCCAGGACCCACACGCACCAGGAAGACGTCGCAGAAGCTCCGTGTCCAGAAGTGCTGGATGGCCCCAAGGGCTCCGTGCGGCTCCAGCGCCTCCATGTGCCGGGCGCAGGCTCCCACCGCCTGCAGCAGCCGCCCCAGCACCCAGCGCCCCATGGCCACACGGGGGCAGCACTGGGGCAATGGAGAGAGGGATGTGGAAGGGGAGGCAAAGGGTGATGCCTGGGGGCCCACTCTCCTTGCACCCCCAAAAACCCCCTTTTAACCCCAAACCCCTCCTTTTACACCTCCCCAAACTCCCTGTTTAACCCCTAAACCCCTCAGATCCCCCCTTCACCCCCCAACCCCCCCCTTTACACCCCCTCATTGTCCCCTCCACCCTCCCATTTGACCGGCCATACCCCCTCTTTACCCACCCAAACCCCTCTTCCACCCCCAAAGTCCTCTTTTGACCCCCCCAAACCCCCCTTGTGCCCCCTCCCCCCCCCCCCCGGTACCTCCTCAGGGCGCTGTGGGTCACAGTGGGGCCCCAGTGCCTGCAGCACGAACCTGACCCCATGCCAGACCTTATTGCAGAAGCGCCTGTGGGTCAGGGCTGTCCCTGCGGCCACCCGGATGCTGTCCCCTATGGGGGGAGGGGGGGACAGGACAGGGACGCTCAATGGGGACCAGGGATGGGGGACACTCAATGGGGACCAGGGACATGCAGGGTCCTGGTGCCCCCCCCTCCGGCTCTCACCGTGCACGTTGTGGGAACACAGGAACATTCGCAGGGCATCAGCGCCGCACTCGGGGATGCCCTGGGGGAACTGGAGCCGCTGCAATGGGGAAGGGGGGGTCAGGAAAAGGAGGGGTTATAGGGGGGGATATGGGGGGTCAAAGGGAGGGGTTGGAGGGGTAAAGTGGGGGCTATGGGGCAGGAAAGGGCCCACCTGCCCCTCTGTTGCCACTCGGAGCTCGTGGGGGTCCAGGACCTTGGTGTGGAGCCTCTGCTGCAGCTCCTGCAATAGGAGAGACCCTGCAGTAAACACCAACCTCATTGGGAGACCCTGCAGTAAACACCAGCCCCATTGGGAGACCCTACAGTAAACGCCAACCCCATTGGGAGACCCTGCAGTAAACACAAACCACATTGGGAGACCCTGCAGTAAACACAAACCACATTGGGAGACCCTGCAGTAAACACAAACCACATTGGGAAACCCTGCAGTAAACACAAACCACATTGGGAGACCCTGCAGTAAACACAAACCACATTGGGAGACCCTGCAGTAAACACCAGCCCCATTAATCCTGTTTGTTATCGTAGCGTCTTTTATATGTACAACCCACATATATATGGGTTATTATAGGGGCTACCATGTGCTATTATAGGGTCTTCCATGTGTTATTATAGGGTCTCCCGTGTGTTATTATAGGCTTTCCCATGTGTTATTACAGGGTCTCGTACCTGCAGCGAGGCGCCAGCGATGACATCCCGGGGGTCGATGACATTCCCAAGGGATTTGCTCATCTTGCGCCCGTAGGAATCACGCACCAGCGAGTGCAGCAGGACCTGAGGGGGGGACAGATGGGGGGGACAACGGGACGACGACATGACACGGACGACGACATTCCAAAGAGCGGGAATAGGAGATAGTTGGGAACACGGAGCAGCCCCAAATGGGGATGGGAACCCCATGAGCAGGGGCTGAAAGGGCATTGGGGTCCATAGGGACACACAGGGGGAACACTGGGGTCCATAGGGGAGACATTAGGATCCATGGGGGGGACATTGGGGTCTACGGGGTGGTACCTTGGTGAAGGGCAGGTGCCCCATGAGCTGCAGGCCCAGCAGGGCCATTCGGGCCACCCAGAAGAAGAGGAGGTCGCTGCCGGTGGCCAGCACGGCCGTGGGGTAGAAGCGCTGCAGGTCGGGGGTCTGGGGACACCAGAGGGGCCCTTGGGTCCCTTTGTGCCCCCTTTGTGCCCCCTTTGTGCTCCCTTTGCCCCCCCTTTGTGTCCCCTTTGTCCCCCCCCCATTCACCTCTTGGGGCCAGCCCAGTGCAGCGAAGGGGAAGAGCGCAGACGAGAACCACGTGTCCAGGACATCGGGGTCTGGGGGGGACCCCAAAAGGCATCAGAAAGATGGGTTTTGTGGTGAAAAAGAGGGGTTTTGGAGTCCAATTTTGGGGTGAAAAAGGAGGGGTTTTGGGGTCCAATTTTGGGGTGAAAAAGGAGGGCTTTTGATGTCCAATTTGGGGGTGAAAAAGGAGGGGTTTTGGGGTGCTCTGACCTTGCTGCAGGTGCAGCCCCTCGGGGGGGCAGCGCAGGAGCCGGGCAGCGGCCGCTCGGGCTTCAGCCTCGCTGCGTGCAACGACCCAGAGGCCACCAGGGGGAGCCGGAGGGGGCCCCTGCACTTGGTAGGCAGGGACCCGGTGACCCCACCAGAGCTGCCGGGAGAGGCACCAGTCCCTGTGGGGGGACACAGACATGGGGGTAATGGGGTATGGGGTATAGGATATGGGATATGGGGTGTGGGGACATAGGGATATGCGGTATGGAGTATGGGATATAGAATATGGGATGTGGGGTATGGGGTATGGGGCATGGAGTATGGGATATGGAGCTACGGAGATATATGGATATAGGGATGCTTTTCCTTACCCCACATTATCCATCCAGGTTTTCCAATTCTTCTCATGGAATTTAGGGATCAGTTGGAGGCGTCCGGATGTCACTGCCTGGGGAAGGGGGATGAATGGGCGGGGGTCACACAGGCAGGGTTTGGGGGTGTCACCCCCATATCCCACATCCCCATGTCCCTGTCACCTCCCGGGCCTGCGCTGCCATCTCCTGGCACCGCAGGAACCATTGGCTCTTCAGCAGGTACTCAACGACGTCCCCAGAGCGGCTGCAGGGACACCAGGGTCACCTTGATGGGGCTGGGATGGGGATGGGATTGGGATGGGATGGGGATGGGATGGGGATGGACATACCTGCACATGGGGAGGGTCATGGCGTGGTCCTGGGTGCCGCGGTGCAGCCCCAGATCGGCCAGAGCAGCCACAACCTTGTCCCGTGCCTCGAAGCGATGGACGCCCTGGGGACACACATGGGGACATGGGGATGGACACAGGGAGACAGGGATGGACATATGGACAGACATGGGGATGGACATAGGGACACACATGGGGACATGGGGATAGACACAGGGACACACATGGGGATGGACATAGGGAAAGACATAGGGACACACATGGGGATGGACATAGGGAAAGACATAGGGACACACATGGGGATGGACATAGGGACATGCATAGGGACATGGGGATAGACACAGGGACACACATGGGGATGGACATAGGGACACCCAAGGGGATGAGCAGTACCTGGAGCCACCCCCCGCCCGGGGGACACATGGTGCCATCGTCCCCGATGACAGAGAGCAGGGGCAGCCCCTGGGCCCGGGCCAGCACCAGGTCACGGGGACTGTGCCCCGGGGTCACCTTCACTGCACCTGTGAGGGGGGTATGACCCCATTAACACCCTTGAGCCCATTGAGACCCCCCCCCTCAGCCTGGCTCCCAGTCCTAGCCCCATACTGGTCCCAGTACCGGTGCCTTGGGTGGGCTCCACGGAGGGGTCGGTGACGATGGGCAGGAGCTGCCCCGTGAACGGGTGCCGGACCCGGCGGCCATGGAGGTGCTGGGGAAAGGGAGGGAATCACGGCGGGCACAATCCCCGTCCGCCACGCACTGTCCCTTTAAGAGCATCGGGCCCCCATCTCCCCAACGCGCTACCACAAGCCCCGCCTACTTCCCCTTATATGGATGCATCCATTCCTAAAAGCCGAGGCGCTAAAGCAGCTCAACAGCCAATAGCTGCGAGGCACTTACTGCTGAAGCCACGCCCCCCCGGTAAACCACGCCCCCTTTCCCAAGCCCCGCCCCTCACCGTGTACCGGGGATCCTCGGGGTGCACGGCCACGGCCACATCCCCCAGCATCGTCTCCGGCCGCGTCGTGGCCACCGGTAGCTCCAGGCCTGAACACGCCAAGCACATGCCAAGGACATGGGATGCACACACATGTCATAGCACGATGGGGCCCCCCACACGTGAAGGGGGCACGGTGGGGGGGGGGTCCCAATGGTCACTCACCGTCCCCCCCGTCCACCGGGTAAGCAAAGGTGACGAGGAGGCCGAAGGTGATGGGATGGGGACAGCCGGGGATACGGAGCGCCGTGGGGCCCGTCAGGGAGCGGGGCTCCACCTGCATGGAGATGGGGGGGCTGGGACACCATGGGGAACCCCCAAGGACCCTTTGGGGCCCCTTTAGGGACCCCTTGGGGCCGCACTCGCCTCCACATCAGCCAGTGCGGAGCGCAGGGCACAGGACCAGGTGACGAGGCGGCGGTCGCGATGAATCAACCCGGCCTCATGCAGGCGCACGAAGGCTTCGATCACCGCCCGTGAGAAGCCCTGTGGGGATGTGATGGGGACGTGTCAGTGGGGACACGGTGGGGACATGATGGGGATGCATTGGGGACACACTGAGGAGGGACTGGGGACATGATGGGGACACTACAGGAATGCATTGGGGACACATTGGGAATGCATTGGGGACATGATGGGGATGCATTGGGGACACATTGGGGACACGATGGGGACACATTGGGGACACAATGGAGACAAATGGGGACACGATGGAGACACAATGAGGACATGATGGAGACACTTTGGGGACACATTAGGGACATGATGGGGATGGATTCGAGACACGATGGGGACATAATGGGGACGCACTGGGGACATGATGGGGACACTATGGGGGTTCCCAATGTACCGGGTCCATGGTGAAGGTGCAGCGGCTCCAGTCCAGCGATGCTCCCAGCACCCGAAGCTGCTTCAGGATCTCATCCCCATGCCTGGAAAAAGTAGGGTGGGACGGGACAGACACACATGGCTTTGGGGTGACAATGTCACCTCATACACCCCACTGTCACCACCCCACCTCCCCACTGTCCCCCTCACCGTTGTTTCCAGGCCCAAACCTCTTCCAGGAACTGGGAACGGGTCAAATCCTGGCGCCGTAAGCGCCGGTGCTGCCATAACCAGCGCTCCACCACTGCCTGAGGACATCAGTGGGGACAATGGGGAGGCTGTTTAGGACATTGGGGACAATGGGGATAATGGTGGGGGGGGGGGTCTCACCTGGGTGGCAATGCCAGCATGGTCAGTACCCGGCACCCAGAGCACGGTCCAGCCCTGCATCCTCCGCCTGAAACAGCACCACCAGCACCCATGGGTGCCCCCAGGCCCCCCCAACCACCAACACACCCCTTATGGGTGACCCCAGGCCCCCATCCCCACTGACCAGCGCACGAGGGCGTCCTGCAGAGCCACCGTCAGCGCGTGGCCGAGGTGCAGGGAGCCAGTGACATTGGGGGGGGGCAGCACCAGGCTCAGGACACGGCCCCCGGCTGGTGTCTGTTATGGGGGGGAGAACATGGGCTGAGACCGGGCACAGCTCAGGGCAGCAATGGGCTGAGATCGGGCACAGCTCGGTGCAGGAATGCACTGAACCCCCATAGGGTTGCAATTACCACTCCCCCCCGGCTGCCTGTGCCCCACTCACCGAGGCTGGGGGGGTGAAGAAGCCCTGCTGCTCCCACCAGCTGTACCAGGCGGCCTCCACGTAGCGGGGGCTGTAAGAGGGGGGCAGCGGCACCCCCGTGGCTGTACCCCAAAGGTGTCACCAGGGGTCAGTGCTCAGCCACCCCCACATAATCCACACCCTAAATATCACCTTATAGCCCTTATGCCACCCCTACCCCCCATGTCACCCCATAGCCCCCCCATCACCCATACCCCCCATGTCACCCCATAACCCCCCCTTTTCACCCCATAGCCCCCTCCACTTTTCATACCCTCCGTACCCTTCTTGCCATCAGCTTCCAGGGGGTGCTCATACTCCACGATGCTTTTGGGGGTCCAGCCTTTGGGGGGGGCTGTTGGCACCTGCCAGACCAGTATAAACCAGTATAGACCAGCACAAACCAGTGTAGTATTACCAGTACAATAGTATAACCTCTATAAACCCGTAGAAACCAGTATAAAACAGTACAAATCACTGCAGTATTACCAGTACAATAGCAAAACCAGTATAGATCCATAGAAACCACTATAAACCAGCACAAACCACCATACTATTACCAGGACAACAGTATAACCAGTATAGATCCATAAAAACCATTATAAACCACTATAGTATTACCACTACAATACTATAACCAGTATAAACCAATGGAAACCAACATAGATTAATACAGAGTCACTGAAACCAACATAAACCCGTCCAACCCCCTAAAGTAGTACCAGTACAATAGTACCAACGTAGACCAATAGAACCCAGTATAGATCAATATAGGCTCATAAAAACCAACATAAACCAGTACAAACCAGTATAGTATTACCAGTATAATAGTATAACCGCTATAAATCCTTAGAAACCAGTATTGATCAATATAGGCGCATGCAGATCGGTATAAACCAATACAACCCACTATAGTATTACCAGTACAGTGGCATAACCAGTATAAACCAATACAAACCAGTATAAACCAATACAGACCCATTAAAACCAGTATAAACCAGTCCGCACCACACACTCCAGTGCCCCCCAGTTCATCCCAATGCTCCCAGTTACCCCCAGTCCTTCCCAGTTGCCCCCAGTACCCCCTCCCATACCCCCCCCTTGTCCCAGCCCCGTACCTGCACCCCGGCCCCCCCCACGGCCGCTCTCTGCCTCCTCTCCCGCTGCCTCCTCTCCTTGTACTCGCGGTCCCGGAGCCGGCTCCGCTCGGGGGAGCCCCGGGGGGGTCCCGCGGCTCCGGGGGGGACCCCGCAGCACCGGGCCCGGCTCCCCACGGCCGCCCGCAGAGCGCGGGGGGCAGCGGCCAGGCCGCGGGACAGCACCGGTGCCGCCATGGAGGGAGGGAGGGCGGGCACTAGGACCCGGTGGGGTACGGGGAGCCCGGCTCACGTGACAAGCGCTACCAGCGCTCACAAGGCAGGGGGCGTGGCCGACGGCGCGCCGCATGGCGGGAAAAGGAGGCGTGGCCACGGCGGTGCTGAGGACACGGTGAGAAAAGCAGGACATGGGGGGGAGAATTGGGGGGCAGAGATAGGGGATAATGGGGGAGACTTAGGGGCGGAGATGGGGGCAATGGGGGGGACTTGGGGGGCAGAGATGGGGGCAATGGGGGGGACTTGGGAGGCAGAGATGGGGGGCAATGGGGGGGGACTTGGGGGGCAGAGATGGGGGCAATGGGAGGGACTTGGGGGCAGAGATGGGGGCAATTGGGGGGGACTTGGGGGCAGAGATGGGGGGCAATGGGAGGGACTTGGGGGCAGAGATGGGGGGCAATGGGAGGGACTTGGGGGCAGAGATGGGGGACAACTGGGGAGGACTTGGGGGACAAAGATGAGGGCAATGGGGGGGACTTGGGAGGCAGAGATGGGGGGCAATGGGAGGGACTTGGGGCCAGAGATGGGGGGCAATGGGAGGGACTTGGGGCCAGAGATGGGGGACAATGGGAGGGACTTGGGGGACAAAGATGGGGGCAATGGGGGGGACCTGGGGGCGGAGATGGGGGGGACATGGGGGGCAGAGATTGGGCAATGGGGTGACTTGGGCAGGAATGGGGGTCAATGAGAGGACTTGGGGGTCAGAAATGGGGGGCAATGGGGGGGGGGGGGGGGGCGGGGGCACAGCCTCACCCCACTGTCGCTCTGCTGCCGCTGACAGGAGCTGATTGACGGGGGGGGGCGATGGAGGCCACGCCGTCCCCCCCCCGGCTGCAACGGGGGCAGCTCCAATGCAAGAACCTGCACGAGTTCCTGCGGGGCCTGAGCCCCCCCGTCCTGGACCGGCTCTATGGGCACCCTGCCACCTGCCTGGCCGTGTTCCGGTGACACCCCCCCCCCGTACACCCCAATATCGCCCATGGGCACCCCAATACCCCTTATGGCTCCCTGACTCCCCCATGCACCCTAATACCCCCCCCAGTGCACTCCAGTATCACCCATGAGCACCCCAATACCCCTTATGGCCCCCTGAAAACCCCGTGCACCCCAATACCCCCCCTGGGGCACCCCAATATCACCCATGGGCACCCCAATATCCTTTATGGGTCCTTGACCCCCTCCTTTGCCCCCAATACCCCCCCAGGACACCTCAATATCACCCATGGTCACCCCAATACCCGTTATGGGTCCCTGACCCCCCCCCCCCCCCCCGTGCACTCCAATATCTCTTATGGGTCCCTGACACCCCCCCGTGCACCCAATACCCCCCCCCCCCCGTGCACCCCAATACCTCTTATGGGTCCCTAACACACCCCCCATCCAGGGAGCTGCCGGCGCTGGCTCAGACCGGGATCATGCGGATGCTGTTCCTGGAGCAGCCACTGCCGCAGGCGGCCGTGGGGCTGTGGGTCAAGAAGGAGCACAGCAAGTGGGTGCTATGGGGGGGTCAATAGGGTGCTATTGGTGGTACTGGAGGTCCCTTGGGTGCTGGGGGGGGGGGGGGGGTCCATAGGGTGCTATGGGGGGTATTGGGGGGTGCCCTGGGTGCTGGGGGGGTTCCATTACCTCATAGCCCCAAGTTACCCCCCCATTACTCCCCTATGCTCCCCATAGCCCCATCAAGCCCAAGTCACCCCCTCCTTACCCCCGTGACCCCCATTACCCCCTCTGCCCCTGTTACCCCCATAGCCTCATCACCCCAAGTTACCCCCCATTATCCCCCTCTGCCCCCCATTACACCCCAAGTTGGAGGGGGGGAGGTCTGGGGGTGTTCCATCACCCCCATGGGGGCTGGAGGGGTGTTTAGGGGTCCCTAAGGCTTCTCCCCCCACCCCATGCATAGGGAGCAGGCAGAGAGCCGGGAGATGCTGCTGGGGCTGCGGCTCTGGCACCCCCACACGCTGCCGGGGGGGCTGCCAGGTGTGGGGCTGCACCCCAGCTTCAGGCACAACCTACGCCTGGCCCTGCTGGGGGGGTGAGTTATGGGGGGCAATGGGGGTAAGAGGGGCTATAGGGTAAGGGGGGGTAGTGGTGGCTATGGGGGTAATGGGGGTAAACTGGGGTGACAGGGTTATGGGGGGTAATGGGGGCACAGGGGTATAGTGGGAGGGTAACTTGGGGGGTGACTGGGTGCTATGGGGGGAATGGGGAATAATGGGGGTCACAGGGGGTAATGGGGGGCAGAAGGAAGTAATGGAGGCTAAGTTGGGGTGACAGGGCTATGGGGTATAATGGGGGTGTAATAGGGTATAATGGGGTATAAACGGGGGGGCTAATGGAGTATAATGGGGAGATGTAATGGGGTATATTGGGGGGTGTAATAAGGTATAATGGGGGATGTAATGGGGTATAATGTGGGGGTTCTGTGTTACAATGGGGGGGGTTTGGAGCTCTCCATGGCACCACACTGGGGGTGCAGGGGCAAGGCCTGGTCCGATGACACGAGCCAGCTGGGGCCGGACCGACACGCGCGGGATGTGCCGGCGCTGGACCGGTACGCGGAGGAGCGCTGGGAGGTCAGCGGTGGGGGGCCCATATCCATCACCCTACCCCATACCCTGGGGGTCCCCGAGGTCCTGACCCTCCCCCCCCCCCCCCCATTTCAGGTGATCCTGCACTTCATGGTGGGGTCCCCCAGTGCTGCCGTGAGCCAGGATCTGGCCCAGCTCCTGATTCAGGCTGGGCTCATGAAGAGGTGAAAGGGGGGTCCTAAAGGGGTTTTGGGGAGGTCTTAAAGGGGTTTGGGGTGGGTCCTAATGGGGTTTGGGGGGGGTCCTAAAGGGGTTTGGGGGGGGGGCCTAAAGGGGTTTTGGGGAGGTCTTAAAGGGGTTTGGGGTGGGTCCTAAAGGGGTTTGGGGGGGGTCCTAAAGGGGTTTTGGGGAGGTCTTAAAGGGGTTTGGGGTGGGTCCTAAAGGGGTTTGGGGGGGGGTCCTCAAGGGGTTTTTGTGGGGCAGGGTCATAAAGGGGTTTTGGGGGGGCACTGATGTTGGGGTCCCCCCACAGTGATGGGGGGGATGCGCCCTGCATCACCTCAGCTGGGTTCCAGTTCCTGCTGCTGGACACCCCAGCCCAGCTCTGGTACTTCATCCTGCAGTACCTGCGGGGGGCAGAGGTGAGATGAACCCCTCCCCCCCCCCCCCCCCCCCATGGGTGATGTCATCCCCTGTCCCCCAAATGGGGTCCCCCCCCTTCCCAGTGCTCCCATTGATCCCAGTTCAATCCAGGCGCGGGGTATGGACCTGGTGGAGATCCTGTCCTTCCTCTTCCAGCTCAGCTTCTCCACCCTGGGCAAGGTGAGGGGGTGTCGGGGTCACCACCCCCCATCGCCATTGATATTGGGGTGACCCCCCTATCCCCATAGGGTGTTATGGGGATCCCCCCTTGGCTTCGTGTGGGGGGTGACTGGGGGTAATCGGGGTGTAACCAGGGGGGTAACTGGAGGGACACTGGTGTAACTAGGGAGATACTGGGGTAATTGGGGGGGTAACTGGGGGTGTTACTTGGGGGGATACTGGGGTAACTGGGGGGGCTACTGGGTTAACTGGGGCGTACTGGTATAACTGGGGTGCCTGTGCAGGATTACTCCGTGGAGGGCATGAGTGAGTCCCTGCTCAGCTTCCTGCAGCACCTGAGGGAGTTCGGCCTCGTCTTCCAGAGGAAGGTGCCATGGGGGGGACGACATGAGGGGGATGTGGGGTGACACAGAGGGATATGGGGGTGACACAGGGGTGACAGTGGGTGCCATGGGGTGGTGACCCAAGGGGGCTACACACAGAAGGACACAAGAGGCTCCAGACCCCCCTCAGGGGCCATAAATTGCCCCATTCTTAATGCCACCCTCTTCTGCCCCCTTTGTGTCCCCTCGTTGCCCCTCATTACCCCCATTGCTCCCATTACCCCCCACTGACCCCCACTGTCCCCCAGCGCAAGTCCCGCCGCTTCTACCCCACGCGCTTGGCCATCGCCTTGGCCTCGGGGCCGTCGGCGACCCCCCCGGAGCCTGGTTCTCGTGGTTTCATCCTGGTGGAGACCAACTACCGCATCTATGCCTACACCGGTGGGGCCTATCCCCAAGGGGGGGGCACCCCCATGGCCCTGTGCCATGGGGCCCTGTATCCCATTGTGCTCCATCCCTGCATCCTAACCCCTGTATCCCCCCTCTCTTCCCCGTTGTCCCCAATGACCCCCCCCCCCCCCAACCTGCAGACTCAGAGCTTCAGGTTGCCCTCATCGCCCTGTTCTCGGAGCTCCTCTATCGCTTCCCCAACCTGGTGGTGGCCCAAGTGACCAGGGACAGTGTCCAGGCTGCCATCGCCAATGGCATCACCGCTGATCAGGTATGGGGGGGGCACACACACACAAAGGAGGTGGACGAGGATGTGGTTCAGGGGGTGATGGGGGTCTATTGGGGTGCCCTAGGGGGGAATGGGGGTATTGAGGTGCCTGGCAAGAGGGTATTGGGGTTCCTCATAGGGGTGCCCCCATTCACCTCTTCCCCCCTCTAGATCATCCACTTCCTCCGTACCCGAGCGCACCCTGTCATGGCCAAGCAGGTGGGTGCCTGGTCCATGGAGGGGGGCATCTATAAAGGGGGGCATATCCATAGTGGGGGGGTCCCTGTGTCCACGCTGCCGTTTCCCCCCACCCAGACCCCGGTGCTGCCCCCCACCATCACCGACCAGATCCGCCTGTGGGAGTTGGAGCGGGACCGGCTGCGCTTCTCCGAGGGTGAGGCACCCCCAATGACTCCCCCCAACCCAGTGTCCCCAAGGGTTGGTGATGGTGACACCCCCCTTTAAGTTCCCATTGGAAGGTGACATCCCCTTGAGGTCCCTATGGGGCGATGGCATCCCCCTTATAGGGACACAGCCACCCCATGAGGGTGATGCTGACACCCCCCCCCCC